CTCACGTTTTATTGGGAAGAGTATAATCCACTTAGATCAATTAAAAACAGTTATTTCTACATTACAGACATACACAATTTTATATATATGTATAAATAGCACCTTAAATTTGTATACACATGTATAATGTTTAAAACGTATGCCTCTAATAGTAAAGGACCATCAATCTTGAGGCCAAGGTTACGAGCTTCATCAACACGTTGAATAGGCTCTTTATTCAAGAATATACTGGGTTCCTTGTCAGCTATTTTAATTATTTACTGCGCTGATCCTAATATCACGTAGTTTGTCTTAGAGGGGCTTATGGAGTTATGTTAAGAAAATTTATCATTGACCATTCTGAAATCAAATTTAAATCTCTAGTTTAATGTGTTCATGTTTTTGTTATCTTTTTATCACGTTTTATAAACTGGCTTTCGTGTATAAGTGTTAGAATCGAATTTATTAAATTGTTCTAAACTAACTCCCCGATGAGATTTTTTTCACGTGGTAGAGTCAAGCTACAGTTATGTATATTAGGGTTATAGCACGAATGAGTCAGATCGACCGGGGAAGGACCACGTTTTTATAGAATATCAGCGTAAATTAGCAACTCATTGCTATGCCTTGTTTCCTATGATCAGTGTAGAGAACCGGAGACCCCTTTTATCAGAACCAGGCACCAGCACCAGGTCCTAGTCATCAGAGGTGATAACGCACCTGTTACTTTCTTTGTTTGAAGTTGGTTTCAGGTGTTTGCCACTTATATAATATGAAATTTAAGTTACTTTGTCTCTTGATGTTTATAAAAAAAAATATGAACAGGTTGATAAGGAAGAAGAAAAACACAAAATTATTTTAAATGTTTCCAAGGTGCAATTTACGCGGAATTGTTTGCCCCGCAAAACCATTCTGTAGAATATACTGTCGCCAGGAGTACAACTACAACTAACAAAACAAGCCAATATAAGCAGAAATTTACGAGGCAAAATGTTAATTCATTACCGTAAATTTCTGTTTCCACCTTACATCGAAATAAAGAACGCCGTCGTTAAATTTACGGCTTAATAAGTTTAAAGTACTTTCATTAAAGTACACGGTTGTCTTCATTTTAGTTCGAGCGGAACTTTTATTATAATTTGCCTCAGGCGACCATAGTTAAGAAAGAGCTTTGTTTTACCGCTATAGATGTGACAGACAAACATAATAATAAACATGGTCGATTTAGTATTTACATTGCCAAAAGAACTAAATAATTCCGCGAAAGTCTAATTAAAATATATTCAAAAGTTTACTTGATCAAATACTCAGTAGTTTTAAAACTGCTTTCTTCTTCTTTTTAAAGTCTCATTAAACCCCACAGCTAGAAATGGGCCTCTTCCTTTGTAGCGGAAACTATTCTTAATCGTCACGCTTCATTGATTTGAGATACGTTTATATAAATAATATATTGCTATTTTGTTGTTTGATTTATTTATTAAGGTAACGAAGAAAAATATTTTTGGTTTTCATACTGCATATATTCATCGTTCGTTTTATGTAAATTTCTGCACATAAAAATGTGCTACTTTTGTCTTCATGTGCCAAATAAATGTCTCTTTCTTACTTTCTTACCATCAGGTGAACTATAACTTCGTTTGACACTTCAATTTTATAAAAAAATGATATTAGGTAAACACATAATACCTATCAATGAGGTTTCATGCGTTTTGTTACTGAGTTTTTTGTATGAAAGTTTGCTCAATCTTCTTTCTTTACAAGTAAATAAAATTGCATATTTATTTATAGCTTGTTTTCTCGATAAAAGTGCTATAGATGTGTTTTATGTTATCATATAGATGTCTTTTTTAGAAAGGGCATTGTGTTCCCTACGTTAAGCCGGATAGGGAAAAGGGGCAGACGGATAATCCAACACCCAAACTACCGGAAGTATTTAACGCGACGTCGATTACATAGCAACAGCCTCGAGCATTTGAAATGTGAATCCACGCTTACCATATTTTGAAAGTTGCTCGTTTTTAAAAGAAAGATTTTGTAATACATTTTGTATTACCTATGTTTCACGAAACGGATAGTATTTAGCATTTGATATACGTGATTACTGAACATGAGCTTCTGGGTTCGTGTCACGGGTCGAGTCAAAAGAATCAGTTATTAAGACTTTTATGTCTCGTATGTCCCGTGCCTCGGAAAACACGTAAATCTGTTGGATTGCACCTGTCGTGTTGGTGTACCGTCCCATCGGACTATAAGAGTGAGGGAATACGGTTCAATTATGCTTGCGCTTACTCTTGGGTACTTTAATCATATCCTGCGCAGATGGCTAGTTTTCTTTGAGGCTAGTCGTGACAGATTCGGCTTGGAAGACATTTTATTATCATATGCATAGGAGCTGGTGCAGTTGTTTTGGATTAAAACTATCTTGATCAACGTAATATAACGTCAATGACATTAACAAAGCACGCACATTTCAACGTACAGGAAAATGTGCATTATGTGTACTCCATTCTCCAAGCAATGGAGATGTTATTATACCGAAAAGATTCTGCTGGCTATCCCACAGAGATTTCTATCAGCGCAGTATAGGGACCATAGAAAGCTACTGGCCCATTTATTGCTATACAAGTAAACGCGTCCCGGGGCATTAGATTAAATAAAATTTTTACTTGTTTGTAGGACTCTTCTTCTACCTAGACGTCCGTAGATATCAAGCACTTACCGTGCTCTGGTCTGAAGGGTATATAAGTCTTGGTGGATACCACTCTCTTACCTACTGCTGCCCCAGTGCAGTGCAGTGCGAGCGCCGCCGTGCTCTGGTCTGAAGGGTATATAAGTCTTGCTGGATACCACTCTCGTACCTACTGCTGCCGCAGTACAGTGTAGTGCAGTGCAGTGCGAGCAGCGCCGTGCTCTGGTCTGAAGGGTATATAAGTATTGGTAGATACCACTCTCTTGCCTACTGCTGCCCCAGTGCAGTGCAGTGCAACCACTGCCGTGCTCTGGTCTGAAGGATAAATAAGTCTTAGTGGATACCACTCTCTTACCTACTGCTGCCCCAGTGCAGTGCAGTGCGAGCAGCACCGTGCTCTGGTGTGAAGGGTATATAAGTCTTGGTGGATACCACTCTCTTGCCTACTGCTGCCGCAGTGCAGTGCAGTGCAGTGCAGTGCGAGCAGCGCCGTGCTCTGGTCTGAAGGGTATACTCGTATAAGTCTTGGTGGATACCACTCTCTTGCCTACTGCTGCCCCAGTGCAGAGCAGTGCGAGCGCCGCCATGCTCTGTTCTGAAGGGTAAATAAGTCTTGGTGGATACCACTCTCTTACCTACTGCTGCCCCAGTGCAGTGCAGTGCGAGCAGCACCATGCTCTGGTCTGAAGGGTATATAAGTATTGGTAGATACCACTCTCTTGCCTACTGCTGCCCCAAAGCATTGCAGTGCGAGCACCGCCGTGCTCTGGTCTGAAGGGTATATAAGTGTTGGTGGATACTGTGAGAGATTATTGTAATACAGGAGGGTGGATATGAATAAATGAGTCTCAGCTCGATCTCGGTGTTTGATTGCCGCGTCCCCATGTTGACATGGCGCAGTCGGAAAAGTAAATAAGTTCATTAAGTATATTACAAGTTAATTCGAATAGTGTTTAGTTAATAACATTTAATAATTATGGAAGGTGTCTTAAATCCTCCAAAACCATTTCGTTTCGACGAGAGATCAGACTACGCAAATATAAGTGCCAGTTGGACAAAATGACGGATAGCTACGAAATTTATACAAAGGCATGTGAAATAACAAACAAAGCGGCGAGTGTGCAAATTAATATATTATTGCACGTACTTGGCGATCAATGCCGAGAAATCCTAGATCAAAACAAAGATTCACTTTTAAAATGCACTACCGCGGAAGCTGTCATACAAATATTGGATGGACATTTTAATATAAAACCTAATGTTACAGTGGAACGACACCGATTTTTTACTAGGAATCAGAGAGAAAATGAGACAATAGAACAATATGTTTTCGACTTGCAGAAATTGGCTCAAACATGCGATTTCGGGGCCTTAAGCGACGGTCTTATAAAAGATAGGCTGATATGTGGCGTATCCAATTCAGCTATTCGGGAAGGGCTACTAAGGGAGTACGATCTAACTTTAAGCAAAGCATTAGAAATATGTCGAGTCGCGATAGTATCGAGGGTGTATGCGGATAACATTAAACAGGAGTAGTTATCAGTATTCTTAATCAACAATAATAATCAAGCGGTCGAAAATGATGAGAATATTTGGAGTGTGCGGCACAGGAGGGATTCAAGGAGAGGATATCGCGGTATCGCGGTGGCGTAGGTGGCGTGAGCGCGGACGCGCGCATAGGCGGACGCGGCGTACGCGGCGGCGCGTCCCGCTGGGCCCAGCGCCCGCCATGGCGCGCTCGAGGCGAGCGTGCCTTCACGGGTTCGACGCTTTGGGTGAAACAATGTGGGCATTGTGGCAGTGCACATAAAAAGTTTGAGTGTCCCGCGTATCGCAAGCAGTGTCTAAGATGTGCGAAAATGAATCACTTTGCCAGAGTCTGTGGTGCTAGTGTATTCAATGTCGAGGAGTCTGATGAGCAGGTAATACATACTGTAAAATCTAGTAGTGAGTGAAATGTTAACCTAACGATTAATAATAAGTCTGTTAATTTTAAATAAGATACTGGGGCAGATGTTAATATATTGCCGTTGTATTATTTGCCACAAATAATAATGCCACTAATGGAGCACCAGAGGTGTTTCATAAAAAAATATACAAAAATTTTGATGACTTAGATGGAGTTTGTATGTATATCGACGACTTATTAATATACGGTAGCAGCAAAAAAGAACATGAAAGATTAAAATTAGTATTGGACAGGTGCAGGAAAATCAACCTCAAATTAAATAAAAATAAGTGCAAATTTGGGTTAGAAGACATCAGGTAGGGACACAGGATTACTAAGAAGGGACTTTATCCGGATAACTCGCACATTACAGCAATTACGAACATGCCTAAACCTGGAAATAAAAAGGATGTAGAGCGATCACTGGGACTAATTACTTACGTGGGTGCTTTTATACCAAATCTATCTGATAAGACATTGTTGTTGAGAGAGTTGTTAAAAAAAGAAACGGAATGGCACTGGGATGAACGACATGACGAGTGTTTAAAAGTTATAAAACAGTGTTTATCAAAACCACCAGTGTTAAGACATTACGACTTAGACCTCCCTATTACTATCTTAGTAGATGCGAACAAAAGCGGCTTAGGTGCCTGTCTAATGCAAAAAGGAATGCCAGTTTGTTATGCGTCTAAGTCATTGTCAAAAGCAGAACAGCGATATGCTCAGATAGAGAAGGAGTTATACGCTTGCGTTTTTGCTTGTGAGAGGTGTCATGCGTACATTTACGGAAGAACAGATGTCGTGATCGAAACTGATCACAAGCCACTCGTTAGCATTATAAAGAAACCAATAGTGGACTCACCATCGCGCCTACAACGGATGTTATTGAAATTACAACGCTATACATTCAAATTAGTCTACAAAGCCGGTAAACATCTATTTATTGCAGACGCGTTGTCACGGGCATACGAGCCCGAGCCGGCGTTGAGCGTGCAGGTTTCCAGCGCTGACTATACACAGCACGATGAAGTTTGCGCGATCACAAGAGATATGGCACTGAGCGCAGCGACTGATGTTACGGACTTGCAGTTTATTAAGTTGCAAAAGAGTTTAGAAAATGATGATGAACTCGCGTTGTTGAGGAAATACATAAGAGAAGGGTGGCCTACAAACAAACATGACGTCATAGATTTGGTAAAGCCATATTGGGGCTATAAAGAGAATTTATCGATCGCGTATGGTCTAGTCTGGAAGGATCAAAGGATAGTGGTGCCAAAACTCTTAAGAAAAGATTTGTTAAAAAAGATACACGTCGGTCATGTAGGGTTGCAAAAATGTCAATTGCGGGCAAGGGAGACAATATTTTGGCCGGGAATAAATAACGATTTAACAAATTTAATATCTAACTGTAGTATATGCCTGACGTACAGGAAAAACAACCAAAAGGAAGAAATGCAACCTCACGAAATTCCCGACCGACCATGGGCAAAAGTAGGTACAGATCTATTTCAAATAAAAGGTGTGGATTATTTATTATTAGTCGATTACTATAGCAAATTTTTTGAAATGGAGAAATTACAATGTACAACTTCAGCGAGTATAATTGAAACCCTAAAAAACATATTTAGTCGTCAGGGTATACCGAACGTAGTCATGTCTGATTGTGGTCCACAGTTTTAATCAAACCTGTTTAGACAGTTTTCGTTAGAATGGAATTTCAAACACATAACCTCATCGCCACGATATCCGCAATCTAACGGACAAATTGAGCGAATGGTACAAACTGTAAAAAACATAATACTTAAAAGTAAAGAAGATAGAGTTAATTATCGATTGGCTTTATTAGAGTATCTTCACACACCTTTAGAAAATGATATTTCATCACCAGCTGAGTTGTTGCAAAGTAGGAAATTCAGAAGTATGTTACCAAAGTAAGATTACACTTTAAAACCAAAATTACAAAAGAATGTACATAATAAATTAGTCATGAGGCAAAATAATCCAAAATACTTCTACGACCAACATACGCGAAATCTAGACCAATTAAGTAACGGACAAAAAGTAAGGGTACTACTAGATGTAAACCAAAGAGAATGGTTATCAGAGACAATATTGTGTCAGCTGCGATATCGTTCATATAAAATAAAATTAGCAAACGGGAGCATTATTATACGTAACAGACGCCATATTATTAAAGATTCTCCACATAGACAGGACGCGCCGCACTATACTTTAAACAATTACGATGATGTCCGACCTCACTGCCCGCAAAACAATCAGGTTTCCAACGGTACTATACCTTCTGAAGCCTCACCTAATACAGTAAACAACAATAATTATTATGTCACACGTTCCGGCAGGACAGTGAGGCCACCGGATAGATTGGGCTTTGAACACTGAACAGCGGTGATGAACAGCTGCGCAGCTGCGTCGCCACAGTCACCGTGTTCAGTGAAAACAAAACTCTAAATTATATCATCATCATCATTACAGCCTTTCACAAGTCCACTGCTGAACATAGGCCTCCCCCAAAGAATGCCACAAAGCACGGTCCTGAGCCACCTGCATCCATCGACTTCCTGCATGTCTTACCAGGTCGTCACTCCATCTCGTGGGGGGACGCTCTACACTTCGCCTACCGGTACGAGGCCGCCACTCGAGAACCTTTCTTCCCCGTCGGTTGTCGGTTCTTCGAGCTATATGGCCGGTCCACTGCCACTTCAGCTTACTAATCCGTTGGGCTATGTCGGTTACTCTGGTTCTACTGCGGATATCCTCATTCCTAAGTTTATCACGCAGAGAAACTCCGAGCATAGCCCTCTCCATAGCTCGCTGAGCGACCTTGAGCTTTCTCATCCGGCCAGCAGCAGCAGATCCGTAAGTCATCACTGGCAACACGCACTGGTTGTACAATTTCGTTTTAAGGTTTTGAGGTATGTCTGACGAGAAGATGTGTCGTAGCTTCCCGAACGCTGCCCAGCCGAGTTGAATCCGTCGATTGACCTCTCGGTCGAAGTTGGACTTACCTAGTCGGACTATTTGTCCCAGGTAAACATACTCGTCAACAACTTCGAAATGAGTGTTCCCAACAACTACCGGCATAGGTGTGACATGGACATTAAACATGATCTTTGTTTTGTCCATGTTCATCTTAAGACCTATCCGTTGGGAAACACTATTGAGGTCATTGAGCATAGTGCTTAGGTCCTCCAGCGATTCTGCCATAAGGACTATATCGTCGGCAAATCGAAGGTGAGTGATGTACTCGCCATTGATGTTGATACCGTATCCTTTCCAGTCCAGAAGCTTGAAAACGTCTTCCAATGCAGCGGTGAAGAGTTTCGGGGATATGACGTCACCCTGTCTTACACCTCTCTGTAATTAGATAGGTTTCGTACTCTGGTTCTGTACTCGGATAGCCATCGTAGCCCTACTGTACAAACACTTCAACACTTCGATATACCGACAGTCAACTTGGCACCGCTGAAGGGACTGCAGCACCGCCCAATTTTTGAAGGAATCAAAGGCTTTTTCATAGTCCACATACGCCGGACAGAGTGGCAAATTGTACTCCTCGGACTTCAAAACAATTTTCCGAAGGGTATGTATGTAGTCTAGGGTGCTAAAGGCATTTCGGAAACCGGCTTTTTCGGGAGGCTGGAAGTCATCGTGTCTGCATTCGAGACGATTCGTAATAACTCTCGAAAACAGCACGTAGACGCGGCTCAGAAGGGAAATCTTACTATAGTTCTTCAAGAGAGCGTTGTCGTCTTTCTTGAAGAACAAGACCACCGCACTTCTGCTCCACGCCTCCGGTGTAATGCCACCATGGAGGACGGAATTAAAGAGCTTCTGAAGGACTTCAAGTACCGGTTTTCCACCCGCTTTCATAAGCTCCGCTGTAATTCCATCCTCGCCTGGGGCCTTGCCGTTTTCAAGGTGCTGGAGAGCCATTCTAATCTCGCTCAGACTGACGTCCGGGATATCATCGGAGTAATGTCAGATAAGATTCGCTCTTGGATCGTTACTCACACTTGTGTGCGGCTCCAACGATGACGTGTACAGCTGCCCATAGAACCTCTCAATCTCACTCAAAATCTCAGGTGTCCCGGAAACGATGCTGCCACATTCCGTCTTCAGCTTTGACAGTTGGCTCTTTCTGGCAGACAGGTCTCTGGCAAAGACTTTGGAGCCTTGGTTCCGCTCGATCGCTTCTTCAATACGAGCTGTATTGAAGTTGCGTAAATCCCGCCGCATGCATTTGGAGATCTGTCTGTTCAGATGCCATTATGCTGTCAAGTCTGTTGAAGAATGTAGCTTCATCTCCCGTCTAACAGCCATGAGATTAAGAGTGTGATCGGAGAGTTTTTGTGTTCTTCTGCGGCGGGTCTTGTAGAACTTAGCTCCGACCGCATGGACAGTTTCCACGAGCTTGTCATTCATATCGTCCACTTCATTGCAGTCTTCTAGGCACTGAAAACGGTTTTGTAACTCGAGCTGAAAGGTTTCGGGACTTTGGAACAAAGCACGAGGGGGACGGAGCGTTGACTTCATTAGACGAGACCTCTCCAACTTAACTTTTAGGTTCAGTGTGCCTCTAACCATTCGGTGATCGCTACCAGTTTTTACCCTCGCGATCACGGAGACATCACTGAACAGTTGTCGTCTGGTCGTCATAATGAAGTCAATCTCATTTTTTGTCGAACCGTCGGGGCTCGTCCAGGTCCACTTCCTGTGGGGCCGCTTCTGGAAGAAAGAGTTCATCAAAAAGAGTCCCTCTTTCTCCATGAAGTCGGCCAGCTGCTGGCCCCCTGGGTTAAAAATAAAAATAAATATAACCCCTAAATTATAAAGTACGCGCAAATAACGAAAATAAAGTATGTAAAAAAAATGTAAATTATCAAAACCCGGCATGATATTATTTTTTGTTTGTTAAGCTGCACAGCATGCACGTTTATTACACCAAATGTCCCAGGTTATATTCCTGACTGGACTTATAATTTTAGTTAGTTGGTGTGTTATTTTAGATTTATTACTTAAGAAATGAAATAAATGTAATTGATTTATTAATTTAAAAATGAAATAAGTATTACTAATAAAAAAAATTGATCGGATTAAAAAAAAAAGAATAATAATTTAATTTAAGTAATTAAATGAACATTTCATACTATACATACACATATTGTAATGCCAGTGATTTCATAATTGATTTTTCTTATTTGTAAGATAGGGGAAGATGAGTAGTTAGAGAGATAATTCATAATAATGTATTATTAATCAGAATAACTTACTAATTTAATATACATATGTAATATTATTTAAATTATTATTTTATAGTGAAAATACCTATCAATTTTCTTACTATTTTTGTGATAAAAATATGCAAGAGTAAAATTCCATTTTAATTTTGTTTCTTATCATTAAGAAGGGAGATGTGAGAGATTATTGTAATACAGGAGGGTGGATATGAATAAATGAGTCTCAGCTCGATCTCGGTGTTTGATTGCCGCGTCCCCATGTTGACAGATACCACTCTCTTGCCTACTGCTGCCCTAGTGCGGTGCAGTGCAACCACTGCCGTGCTCTGGTCTGAAGGGTAAATAAGTCTTAGTGGATACCACTCTCTTACCTACTGCTACCCCAGTGCAGTGCAGTGCGAGCAGCACCGTGCTCTGGTGTGAAGGGTATATAAGTCTTGGTGGATACCACACTCTTGCCTACTGCTGCCGCAGTGCAGTGCAATGCAGTGCAGTGCGAGCAGCGCCGTGCTCTGGTCTGAAGGGTATACTCGTATAAGTCTTGGTGGATACCACTCTCTTGCCTACTGCTGCCCTAGTGCAGTGCAGTGCGACCACTGCCGTGCTCTGGTCTGAAGGGTAAATAAGTCTTAGTGGATACCACTCTCTTATCTACTGCTGCCCCAGTGCAGTGCAGTGCGAGCAGCACCGTGCTCTGGTGTGAAGGGTATATAAGTTTTGGTGGATACCACTCTCTTGCCTACTGCTGCCGCAGTGCAGTGCAGTGCAGTGCAGTGAGATCAGCGCCGTGCTCTGGTCTGAAGGGTATACTCGTATAAGTCTTGGTGGATACCACTCTCTTACCTACGGCTGCCCCAGTGCAGTACAGTGCAGTGCGAGCACCGCCGTACTCTGGTCTGAAGGGTATATAAGTCTTGGTGGATACCACTCTCTTACCTACTGCTGCCACAGTGCAGTTCAGTGCGAGCACCGCCGTGCTCTGGTCTGAAGGGTATATAAGTCTTGGTGGATACCACTCTTTTACCTACTGCTGCCCCAGTGCAGTACAGTGCGAGCAGCACCGTGCTCTGGTCTAAATGGTATAGAAAGCCGGTATGATGGCAGGCCGAGAGGCATTCCTTCTTAGACTTAGTGGTGACAAAGCATTTGTAGCCATATTTACTTGAAGCAGGTGTTAATTTATTTTATTAAAAGAATCACATCCTTTGCATTTTTTGATTTATGATATTTAAATTTCATTTCTCAAACGTGATAATAATGCATATCAATTTTGCTAATCCAAGCGACCGTGTTAACATTGTGACAAGAGACCACTACCGAGTCATTGCCCATTTCGAGTGCGCAATTTACATTTGTAGCCTAGTTGTGTTCTATACTTGAGTATACAGGATGAAATTTATAAGTAAACTAATTAATTTTAAT